TTTGAGAGCCTGAATTTTTGTGTCAAATTGAGTGAGTATCATTTGATAGAATGCACGAAATATTAGTCCTACCTCGGATTTGTCACGCATAAGATAGATCCACGTCACCCGTGTGTGATCATCAATAAAGGATACGAACCATTGGGCCCCAGAAATACTTTTTTTCACGAGGACCCCAGACATAACTATAAATTAGAGAAAAGGGACGAGTGGGTTTGTATGATAATCGAGGAAATGAAGTGCAAGTGTGTTTGACAAGTTGACAAAATTCGTAATTAAAAGAGGTAGGACTTTTATTAATAAATAAATGAGGAAACAGTTTTCCCATGCACATAAAGTTGGGATGACCTAAACGATAATGAAGTAACATGATTTCACTATCATTATTAATGCTGGAATGGAATACAGATGTACTAAGCGGATTTAAGCAAGACAGACTTGATACTGGAAGACCCCCGGTGGGTGAGACTAGACTGACAGAAGGTGCAACCCAGCACTGCCAATCATCCTCCCCGACTTCAAATTCTGAAATTCACAAACATATGGAAAAAATTTAGCAACACAATGACAATCATGAGCGAGCTTACTAATAGAGATCAGATTGCAATCCAAAGTAGGAACATGAAGTCTGGAGAGATGAGGACAGAACCAAGACCAGTAACTTTGGAAGCTGATCTATCAGCAATCTGAACAGTGATGGTCGGATTACACGGCCGGTAATCCATTAATAAGCTGACATCCCCGGCCATATGATCGGAGGCACCTGAGTCAACAATCCAGGGGCGAGAAGAGGTTGAATCCAAGACGAAAGCGGATGGGGAAATACCTTGATAGGTAACAAGGCCGGTAGCACCCGATGCCACACTAGTAGGCTGGACTGGTAACAACTGACCGAACATCTTCTGGAGGGCATGAACCTGTTCTTCGTTGAATGGACTCGTTCCTGGAGAGGCTTCAGTGGTGCTGGTGGCAGTTGCCCGATGATCCCGTTTGGGTTTCCCATTGGCGGGGTTGTCATGAATCCGCCAACATCGCCAACACGTATCCCCAGTATGGCCAAAACGACGGCAGTGGTCACACCAGGGGAGGCCCTGGCAGAATTGTTGGAAGAGGTTTCAAATTCAGAATCTGTGAGCGAGTCTGGTCAAACTCAGCGTTGGCGGTTGTTTGTGGATGAAATATGAGCAGCAAGTGCCGACCCGTCGAGGGTTGTAGTGGACAAGGAAGAAAACTTCACGACTTGTTGGAAGAGGTTTCGAATCAAAATCCGTGAGCGAGTCTGGTCAAACTCAGATTTGAGGCCGAGAAGAAATTTGAAGGTGCGTTTCTATTCTATGATTCGACGAAATATGACAGAGTCTTCAGCACACTTCCAAGGGTACACCTCGAATAGATCATTCTGAGGGTACACATTGAATAGATCTAGTTGTTGTCAATACTGAGTAAGAGTATTGAAGTATTGGGTGACAGAGAGGTTACATTGACGAAGGTCATGAAGAATGGTCTCAAAAGCAAATATTTCGCTTGTATTGTCCGCACTTGTATTGTCCGCACTGGAATATGTCTCATGGGCAGCATCCCAGATTTCCTTAGCCGTGCCATAGAGAAGAAAATTTTCGCCAATATCAAGTGCTATCGAGTTAACAAGCCAGACCATAACCATATTATTCTCGGATTTTCAAGTCTTGTATGACGGATCTGTCGTCATCGAAGCTGGAGCATCACCAGTGAGGTAGTCATCTTTGCCTTTGCCTTTGCCACATACAAACATCATGACTGACTGCGACCATTGGAGGTAATTTAGGCCGGTGAGTTTGTGGCTGGTGATGAGGACAAAATTACTGTCTGAATTGCTGGGTAATGGAATGGAGACCCAATTGCGGAGGGGTGGCTAGAAGTGACATCACTAGTGGAGGAGGAGTTGCAGGCATGGCCGTACTTAGTCATTGAGCTCGGCAGGAACTGGCTACTTGGTCGCGGAAGAAAGTCGGCGATCGCGGAAGACGATCGCAGAAGACGATCGTGGTCGCGGAAGACGATCGCGAAAGACGCGGAACTGGG